CTGCATCCCATTAATCTCTGGTCGGGAACCTACTGGGTATCTTCGTGTTGAAACCACAAACAGGCATAATGTAATCGGTCCTTGCTTCTATGTCTGCTTTAATTCCTTTGAGCCGGCACCTTTTTATTTCATTCAGTATTGCTACATGCCCAAACTTGGTTGCCTTCCACATATTGGCTTCTCTGAGCCTGAGAGCGCTCTTTGCGGCCATACTATGGATGCAAATATCCTGCGGTGACAAATGAAATATCATGTTAAGCCCTTCTTCAGGCGCTCTCTTCACTGCCCCCGATATTCCCAGGTATGCGAATCTTTGCACTTCTCCTCTATTATTTTCCTGTTATTCCCTTTGTTCTTTGGTCTGATGACTGTGGTGCAAATCCCATAGGTGACGTACGGTGATAGTCCTAACTAACTGTATTTTTTTTCCAGTGTAGGCGTTTGAATAAAAGCAGCTGAGGTCAACGCAATTATTAATATACGCATAATCAACGCTACCTTTAATAGATCAAATTCCGGTAACATTATAACTGTAATAGTCGTAAAATTCCAGCTGTCAACTGGCAATTAGCGTCACAGTTAATCCGTGTTGATCAGATACATATGTATAATGTATGTATGACGATTATTTACGCATATTGGCAATATGTCAAAATTTTACTGGTTGCTGTTGACGTGTTTGCAATTTTTATTTTGTTATTTGTTAACTCAAAAAAAAAAAAACATAGTCTGGGGGCGGTGCACATATTGTGCTTGTATTATAATATAATAAGAACGACATAAAAATTTAAACATACACATATACATATGTACAATGTCAAGCAAATTCAAGTTCAATGGAATTAAATAGTCTTAGTATTTTGGCATTTCCTTATTTTTCGCTATCTGATTTTGGATTACACCGATTTGTGCTGAAGATTATTTTATTGATATCCACTAAGCCTACAGATTTGTACATTTCGGAAGTCACACGGTAGTGTTGTTTAGAAATTTGAGTTCAGCTCAATAAAAGAATTTCCAGAGGTGGTTTTTGGTTTCTCTGTTTTATGTATGTTCATAAGTATGTGCAAATAGGCATTCGCAGTTTTATAAAAATTTGTAAAAGTTAGTTAGTATTTACACAAAATTTACAAGTACTCTCACCACCCGGTAATTATATTTATTTTTAAACTATGTATCATCTGTTTTATTTACCACTCCAATGTATGCACAATTCATACATACATACATACAAGTACTTATATTCACATACTATATACATACATATGTAGGTCAAGTTCTGTCTTTTTAGTGACCATAACTTGTTTCTTAACTTGCAAAAAGAATTAAAATGCTGAGAAGCCATCAATAAATTAAATGTGTAAAACTTGTCAGCAGATAAGCAGATAACTACGTGCAAGTGAATACACATATTTACCTACATTTTATATACAATATATATGTACATACTCACATAGTATCAATGTATATAAATCTGCTCAAGCTCAATTTTTGTGTGCGAACATTCGTACTAAAAATCCTGTTTTACGAATGCGTCCTTGCGTATACAGTGGTCGATCAAATTATAGCCGCACCACATATTGACAAGTTTTAACAATTTATGTTTTTGTTATTTAATTTTAGTTATTTTTTTTTTGTGAAAATATAGTTCATTTTTTAACAAAACCTGTGTAAATCCAAGTTTCAAACGTTGCAATATTTCAATAAACTTTCGTAAAAATTTCGAACTTT